GCCAGAGCACCAAGACCTGGCCAGACCCTTGTGGGGCACTCACCCGCTCCAAGGGGGGCAGATCGGTTTGCCCCCTTCTCCCACCAGCCCCCTTCTGCTCCTTCCAGTCATTCTTGCATTGGCCGCATTCAAACACCCCTTTGAGGCAAGAGTTCTGGCACCTGTAAGCTTTGCACATCTGCAGCTTTGATCCTGCACCCTTTAATTATTTACTCTTAATATCCAGGCTGCCTCATTGCTTTGCTTTTAAATTAACATTTATTGCCCTCTTTTTCCCAGGTAGAGATTAACACGCTTAAGCTGCAGGTGTTGCAACGTCCTAGGCGCCCCAAAGCTTTTGCCCTACTGGCCAACCTCGCCTCTGCCTGGCCGTGCAGCCTGGAAGCTTGGGGGGCTTCCCTGAGGGAAGGGGAGGGGGTTGCTGGAGTCATGAAGACACAAGGGGCTTCTGGTTCTCCCCGGAGGCTCCCGAGCACCCTGCAGCTCAGGTCTCTCTGGCTGTGGGACCTAACCGTAGCTGGGGGTGGGGAGAGTCAGCCCCCCCCCCCCCCGTGTTTCAGGGGGGCTGGGACAGACTCCTGGCAACATTTGACAAAGTCGTTTTCAGGCGTTCCAACAGGCTGCCCTACCGTTCTGGGGGCCTCTCTGGATTTATTGTGGGGTTCTTGGTGGTGCGGCTTGAGCAGAGGAAGTTGAGGCAGGAAGTTCTTGAAAAGCCCCCAAATTTTCTGCAGGGATGCTATGATCAGGATAGCGAAATGGCCTACACTGCAGGGTGGTTTTCTGGGTGAAGATGCAGGGCTATCCAAAGTCCCCTCCTCGCCTCAAGGCCAGAAGGCGGCCCCCCGAGGCATCCCCCGAGACCCTCCTCCGTTCAGAGGCTGAGATGCTGGAAGCCCAGATGAATCTGCCATCCCAGGACTGGGAATCCTTCCAGAGTCATTGATAATGCCCCCACCTCTTTTCCCCTCTGCCAGTCTGAATGCTCTTGAACAGAGATTAGACAACCCATTTCAAGTTGGCCTTAAGCCACAATACGGCTGGTTTGTTTTTAGTTTAATGTCTGGAACAGTCATTGCGGTTTGTAAACTGTGGCTTAGGGCTCTCTGTTCCATATGAACGCTGCCAGCTTTTCTTCGTGTGCCACAGACTGGGATGTGCCAACCAGGTCAGCATTTGGGAAGATAACGACTGGCAGGTGTCTGATGGCTCCTTGCTTCTCTTTCCTAACCTCGTCTTGGAGGCTTGTGGGGCTCCCCAAACACGGCAGCCTCCCTTGAGCCTTGGGGCTAAAAGGAAGCAAGCGGGGGGGTGGGGCGGGGGGAGGCGTAAGATTTGCGTGTCCCTTCTGGCAGGACCCAAAGAGAGGGGCACCTGTGTGGGCATCGCTTTCCTATTGCTCACGTGGGCAGCTCTTCTTCCGGGGGGGGGGGGGGGCAGACGTTTTGGAGTCGGAGTGAGAGCAGCTGGGAGCCACGGTGCCCATGTAGGGAAGGAGCCGGTTGGAGTAAGGGCGCCCCTTGGAGACACCCCCCTGTACCCACCTGCAGAGGGTGCCTGCCAGGCAGATCCAGGAAGAGAGAGCGGCTCCCCTGGCACACGAGGCGTGAACTTTGATATTGGCCAGTCTTGATGTCGGGCTGCTCCTCCTGCGTTTCTGCCTGTCAAAATCCCTCCTCCCCCTCTCCCTTCCCCAGACCTAAATGTGTTCCCCGTCCATGAGTTGGCAGGTCTTCGTTGGTCTCCTTTGCTGCTTTGAAGGCGAGTCAGCTGTCTTGTTTCCCCCTTTCCAGGCTGGAGAGACGCTTTTGGCAGAGTGGGGGGTGGGGGGGTGGGCTGAAGGGGGTCAGGGAGTCTCAGCAGAGGTCTCCAGCCAGCCATCCAACCTACAGCACCCTGGCAGGTTGCAGGGGAGGCTTGGCAGCAGATGGGCAGCCCCTCAGGGTAGCTCAACCTCCTTGGGGGGGAGGGGCTCAAGGAGGCAAGGGGAGAACAGTTTGTCCTGTCCCTGGGTGTCTGTCCTTCCTTCCTAGCCAGCCCCCCCGCCCGCCCCCCCCCCCGATTCACCCACTGCCATCCCCTTTGTGCCCAAGCAAGGGCAGTGCCCGGGGGGGGGGCTCTCGTCTCCAAAATACCCAGGGCAGCCCACCGTTTTATTTCCATGTTCCTTGGAGGGACACCACGCGCAGGTTGCTTTTATGGGAGGAGAAAAAGGGGGGCCTGGGGGAAAAGGCTCCCATCCAACCGAGGGGAGGAAAGGCAGGTGATAAATCGCAGGGAGGTTTAGTTCCTTTTGAAAGCTATTGCTGAAAATGGAAAGCTTTCCTTGGAGCCCCGTTTTAATAGCCGGCAGAGAGAGAAAGCGGAGGCTTTAATCAGCCTTCCTGTTGCCAAATCGAGGGGTGAGCTTGAGGTGAGCGCCCCCCCCCCCGCCCCAACTCCTTGGCTCTAGTGCTGCCTATAGGCTTCCTCGGCTGGGAGCGGTTGGGCCCCTTCCATTCCCTGCCTCTCCCCTTGAGCTGAGGCCCTGAGGGAGGGAGGGAGGGAGGGAGGGAGGGAGGAAAGCATCCACCTGCCCCCCAGGTGCTCACCCCAGCCCAGCAGGGGCAGGGGGGAGGTTGAAAGGTGCTGAAGCTCCCTGCAGGGAGAGTCCCCTCCCTCTTCTGAGGAAGCTAATTTGGGGATCAGAAAAACGGGGGCCTTCTACAGCCTCTTTGCAGGGAAAGCTCTCCCGTCGTCGCCTGCTCTTCTCTGGGGAGTTAAAAGGAAGGTTCTGTCTTCCAACGCTTTAGGGAACCCGCTCGGGGCGGCTGAAGAGATTCCGGCCTGGGCATTCAAAAGATTGTGACTCCATTGTCATTGGCTGCCAGCCACCATTGTCAATGTTGCGAGAGGATGGGAATTGTAGTCCGTTAGCATCGAGAGGTTCAGCCTCCAGCCCTGGCTGCTGACCCGGGACTTTCAAGCCGGCGGCCACGTCCCCTTGTCCTTTCCTGCACCTCAAGAAGGAGCCACGTGGGAGCCATGGCTCAAGGGCCGGAGACGGCAGGGCTCCTGGGGGTTGGGGTCCCTGAGGAGCCTTTGGTGCTTGACCAGGCGCCGTGGATCATCCGTCTCCCCAGGGCTGTTGGAGAAGGAGGTAGAACAAGACGGACGACGACGGCATTGTGAGCAGCTGTGCTTTGGGGGAGGTGGGGGCCTTTCAAACACGGCCCCTCAGTGGTTTGGGCTGGATCGGCACAGGGGGAGTGCCAGGGTGGTGTGGGCCCAGACCCCTCCTCCCTCTTTCTCCCAAGGGCCTGGGTTTCCAGCCTCTCCCGGGAAGGGGGAAGAGTCCGGGGAGGGTCTTGGCTGGGCTAGAAGGCCGCTTCGGAGTGGCCCTCGCCCGCTTTTTTCCTTTGCTCCAAACCACGGGGAGGAGGTAGCTTTCCCCCAACACTGATTCCCAGTTTCCAGCTTGGGAGTAGCGTTGCAGCCTCCCAGTGCAGTCCTGCCTCCAGCCAGCCGGAGCGGTTTCTCCTGCCCCTGTTTGGCCTGATCTGGGGCCCAGTGCCGAGCCTGGCTTTGGGCATCCAGGGGAAAGCCTAGCCGTTCTGGGCGGAGAGAGAAGCCCGTGGAGAAAAGGGGCTCTTGGCCCTGCAAATATTTTCTCTCCATGCACAAATTATTTCTGGTGACATGTGTGCTGGCGTTTTTTTCCTTCCTGGCTCAACAATCAATAGGACTGCAGAGCTTTCTCTTATCTGGAGAGAAGTGACAGCAGCCTTAAATGAAATCTCTCTGCAGTGCTTGCTTATCACGGCTATCGCCTCCTCCCAGCCGCTCTGTGACAGGCACGAGGGAGCCTCTCTGCTTCGCTGGGTCTGTGCACCTGCGCTCACACCGGGCGGTTGTGTCGGGGGAAGCACAACAGTCTTGCCCGGATCCAGGAAGTAACACCGACCTGCACTGTTCAAGTGGGCACAGCCGCAGCAGCCCTGCAAGGAGACGTGGCCGTTCATCGGTGGCGCGTTTTTTGCCATTCGTAAAAGCCTCATTCAGTTTTCCGAGTGGTTTTTGTTGCTGTTTTTAAATGCTGTACTTAAATGTTGTAATGAACAAGCAGGCAAACAAACAAGCAGAGGGAGGCAGGGAAGGGCCGGTGCCAGTTGAGGGTCCAGCCTTTGCCAAGCTCTGTCCAGTCAGTTTGGCTTCCCTCCTGAGGATGGAAAAGGTGATGCCCAAGGGAGCCCTGCCAGGGGGTTGCCTGGGGGGGGGCGGCTTCCAGGCTGCTGTGCCTGCACCCCTTCTGGGCTTAGGGTGCCCAGGGCAAAGGGTGCCTTGCGTGTTGGCGTAATTACGCCTGCTGCACTGAAACTCTTTAGTGTTTTTGGTGACACTGCTGAGTTGATTTAAAGCTGGGCCCAGAATTGGGGGGGGGGGATTTAGCGTGTTTTAGGGGCCCCGAAGAGTGCCTCCTGTGCCATGCGCATCACCCGCCCCCCCCTCACTCTGCCATTTTTCTCTCAATTCTCTGGGGCTGCAAGTGAAGCCTTTGGCTGGTTAATCCATTGACTGGACACACACACACACCGTTAAAACAAAAAACAAAAATCGATCCAATGTGGAAGGAAACACCAATTAATTAGGTGACCCATTTTTAACGTTACTGATTATTTCAACCAATCCTTCAGACAAGAAAAGGCTCCCCCAGACGGCAAAGGGGCAGTCCTAGGGAGGGGACAGCTTGGGGGGAGAGGAGAGCAATCCTGCTTTGGGGGGCCCTTCTGGATCCCCCGGCTTCACAGCTTCGGTTGGTGCCATGAAGCCCCGAGGGACGGAAACGCCTCTCCTGGGCGGACTCCTTCACAGCCCCCGTCCTAACCCACAGAGAGCCTCCTGGTCTGTTGCCATCCTCCACCTCTCTACGGTGGACTGCTGCTGTTCATGGCAGTTCTACAGATTGTTGCGTTAAACCAGGACAAAAGGACTCAGCTCTCCCGTTCTCCCCCTCCCCTCAGTCCTCCAGACCCGCTTCATCGAGGAACCTGAGGACCAGACGGTGGTTGCTGGGCAGAAGGTAGTGCTGTCCTGCGTGGTGCTGAACTACTCTGGGATCGTGCAGTGGACCAAGGATGGCCTGGCTCTGGGGATGGGACAAGGCCTCAGAGGTGAACAGGGGTGGGGGGGCTTCTTCCTGGGTTGGCTTCTCCTATGGAAATTGTCCACCTGCCCCCTTGCCCCACCCCCTACCCACAAGGCCAGCTGCCTTCAAGAGGCTGCGGGGCCAGCCCCCCCCCCCCCCCCCCAGCATCAGCCAGCCTCCTTCCAAGGGGCTTGGCTCCATGCGGCCCAACAGCACCAGCGCTCCAGCACACAGAGCGGCCCCCTCCCAGTTCACCTGCCACCTCTTATTAATTCATGTGGCGATTCCCCCGCGATTTCTTATTCTGCTGCAGACGCCTCGCCTGCTTTCCTTGCTCACAAGGGATCATCAACACCCCCCCCACCCCCACCCCCGTTTAAGACACTTGGATTTTACCCAAAGGTGACCCAACTCAATGCAGGAGAAAAGGCTGCGGGGCAGGGGGGGTTGCTGCGCTCCTTGCCCTGTGTTTCTTGGGGTGGGGCAGTGTGCTGGGTGGCGTTCTTGGCCCTCTCATCTCCTGGCCACTGGCAATGGCGCCCCCCCCCCTCTCGCTTGGGGAGGTCGAGGCTCTCCTTGCAGACCCCCTGAGGACAACGGTTGCCTTCCGCCACTGACTGAGGAGGCCGGGGCTGCTTTCGGCCCCAACCCCGGGGGGGGGGGGGGGGGGGGGGGGGGGGGGGGGGGCAGCATCCCCTAGATCTGCAGTGGAGACAGGGCTGCTCTGTAGACCCGCTCAGGGTTGAAGAGCGTCACTGGAGGCAAATGGCAGAGACGGTAAAAGGGCAGCCAGAGGCCAAGCAGGAGGGAGGGCGATGCCAGCTGGGCACCAGGCCCTGCTCTCGGCTCGGCTCCCGCTCACCCACCTCTCTCTTCTCAGCCTGGCCACGCTACCGGATCACTGGGGTGACAGATTCCGGCCAGTTCAATCTGGAGATCACCGACGCAGAGCTCTCTGACGATGCCTTATATGAATGCCAGGCCACAGAGGCTGCCCTGCGATCGCGGCGTGCCAAGCTGAACGTCCTCAGTGAGTGTTTGGGGGGGGGGGGGGGCGTTTCCTCTTAGGAAAAACATGGCCGGAGCCCCAGCAACTTGCCCCCCTCCCTTCCTGCTTCTCCCTGTCCCACCTTCTCAAGCTGCCTACCCCCCACCCATCCCGTGTCGATAGCTGCTCGTGGCCGGGACCTCCCGGGGGCTCTGGGTGCCGGGTGTCTCCTTTTCCAGGCACTTCAGCACTTTCTAAGCAGTGTGAGGAACGGGGGCGCCTGTTATCCCCCCGCTTTCCCCACTGGGGACTGGAGGGTCTGCAGAATGGCTGGGCCCCCAAACCAGCCGGGCTCCTGTTCAGGTTCTGGCTGTGAACACGTCGCTTGACCTGTGGCTCTGACCTGCTATGTCTGCTTCCCTGTCAGTTCCCCCTGAAGACCCGATGATTGACGGGGCCCCCGAGATTTTGCTCCGTGCGGGCACACCACACAACCTCACCTGCCGAGCGCAAAACGCCAAGCCTGCGGCCACTATCGTCTGGTTCCGTGATGGGTTGCCACAGTCCGAGGCTGCTACTGCCACGGTATGCCAGGAGACCTTGGGGAGGGGCTGCTTGGGGCCTGCAGGCACCGTGAAGAAACTCTCCCTGCAGACATGATGAGAGGCCAAAACCTGCCGAGGAAGCCGTGCAGAATCCCAGTCTGCCGAACCCACTGCCCCCCAGGCATATCGGACTGCAACTCCCCTAACTCCCAGCAAGCGTCTCTCGAGTGTTCGGAGGCGTTGCCGATTTCAGCCTCTGTGCCTGGAGCACCGTGTGCGAAGGGTGAATCTTGCTTGGCTGCAAATGGCTTTCTCTCCGCCTCCTCCTTCCTCCTGGGAGCGCTTCCTTCCCCCCCCTCCCCAATTCTTAATTTCATTTCTCTCCACAAAATCCAGAATAACCTTCCCACTGGCAGCGCGGTCAGCCTCCTCGCTCTGGAGAGGCCATTTTTCACTCATTAATCCCCAAGCAGTTTATGGTGCGTTGACAGTAATTTGGGCAACCTCATTGGGCATTTAATAAGCATGGCTGAAACGTTTTGGTTCCAGGCTAATTTGGAAGTGATGATTGGTGCAATTCCCCCCCGATTTGAGGCAGGGCATGGGAAGGGCTGCGGCCACCGGAGCAGGTTTCTCTGCTGGGAACCTTTCTAATCCAACCCAAGGATGTGTTGCTGCTTCAGTTCTGACACGCTGTGCAGAAGCCTCCCCTGGGAAGGTTCTGGGGTCCTTTATGGGGGTGTGGGGGGGTGTTATTCACCACAATGCAATGCCCAGCCACCACCCTGAGTGCAGGAAGGAAGCTGCTTTCCTGACTGGTCTCAGTTCTGACGGCTTCTGCTCTTGTTGCTGCTCCAGGAAGTCTTAATGGATGGAAAGAGAAAGACCACCATTAGTCAGCTGCTCATCACGCCCACCGACCTGGACATCGGGCGAGTCTATGTGTGCCGTTGCAGCAACGAGGCTATCCCTGCAGGCAAGGAGGCCTCCATCAAGCTCAACGTTCACCGTAAGGAGGGCCTCTTTGGGGCATAAGGACCCTGAGTTTTTGGCCCTTTCTGGCCACGGAGGAAGGGGAGGAGCACGGCTGATTTGGGGCTTAGGATTTGATAAAAATGGGAAGAGATGAGATAGCAAAGTGTCCTTGCTGGAGCTGGTTCATATTTTGGTTTCTGAAGTCACCCTGGCTGGGATGATGACGAGCTGGCGTGGCAGCCCAGTTGTAGACCCCTTGGCAAAGCTTGGCCGAAGAGGATGCCAGCAGTATCTGCATGGAGGGTGCAGGGGAGGAGCTTGATGGGGGTCAAGAAATCTGGGGATGCTGCGCCCAAACAGTTGGCGATCGGGTCAAAGGAAAGAGGCAGCCATCGGTTGCATGGCCGTTAACCGTTCCTTCTGCATGGCAGACCCTCCAACGGTGACGCTGTCTATTCAGCCCCAGACGGTGCAGGAAGGAGAAAGAGTCACCTTCACCTGCTTGGCCAACGCCAATCCAGAGATCAAAGGCTACAGGTGAGCCAGGTGCTGGCCGGGTGGGAATGATAGACCTCCAGACCCTCGCCTGCTCTTGCAGGGAGGCTCCTCGAAGTGTCCCCGAATGCTTGGCCTAGTGGATACGTTTCCTCCAACCCTGCCAGGTGGGCAAAAGGCGGAACGATTATTGAGGATGCCAAGGAGAGCAAATATGAGACGCAGGTGGATTACACCTTCTTCACGGAGCCGGTCTCTTGTGAAGTGCGCAATGATGTGGGCAGCACCAACGTCAGCATCCTGGTGGACGTCCATTGTGAGTAGGGGGCACGGCTGCCAAGGCTGAGACGAGAGAGGGCATCCTTTCTGGGGAAGCCACACCTCCTCCCAGCAGCCCCTCCCACTTTCAGCCACCTAGGGCCTTGGAAGGCAAGGGGGTCGCTCCCATGGTCTCTCTCACCTTGTTCTCCTCTGCCAGTCGCTCCTCGGATTGTGATGGACCCCAAGCCCCTGATCACTGATATTGGCTCGGACGTCACCTTGACCTGTGTGTGGACTGGGAATCCCCCACTGACCCTCACCTGGGCCAAGAAGGAATCCAACATGGTGCGTCCCCTCCCAGAGGACCAGATTTGGGGCTGGGGCCCCAAGCAACCTTTTCTTAGGAGCAGCTCCAATTTGGGATGGAGGTTGCACCCATGTCTTGATTGGGTTCTCTCAGGAGGGAGGGAAGGACCCGCCCACGCTCTCCCCCCACCAAAGGCGTCTTGCATCTCTTTGCGCCCCCAGATACTTGGAAACAGCAACCAGCTGCACCTCAAGTCTGTCACACAGTCAGACGCGGGGCTGTACGTCTGCAAGGCCATCGTGCCACGGATCGGGGTGGGCGAGCGTGAAGTGGCCCTCTTGGTCAATGGTGAGTGAAAGCAGGGGCGCCCCTCACCAAAACGGGGCATGGCCGCTGGGGGCAGCTGCTTTGTCTGGGCCTTCACGGGGAAGAGGGGAGGCTGCTCACCCCCTCCGCTGGCCCTTCTGGGTCTTGGTCCGTCTCTCGGTCTCCTGACCCCTTTTCTGCCCCTCCCCCATTCTGCCGTTCCAGGTCCGCCCATCATCTCCAGCGATTCCATCCAGTACGCTGTGCGGGGGGATCGAGGAAAAGTCGAGTGCTTCATTGGGAGCACGCCCCTCCCCGACCGAATTGTGAGTCCTGGGGCAGCCGGCGCTGTTGAGGGGTCTGGAAGGAGGCCCGTCTGGCTGGAGGGGGGAGGTCAAGACCGTCTCCTCTTCTCCCTGGAAGGCCTGGGGCTGGAAGGAGAAAACCTTGGAGACGGGCACCTTGGAGCGCTATACTGTCGAGCGGAGCAACACGGAGGACGGGGTGCTCTCCACACTGACCATCAACAACGTGATGGAGGTCGATTTCCAGACACGCTACAACTGCACCGCCTGGAACGCCTTCGGTCCGCGGACGGCCATCATTCAGTTGGAGGAGAAAGGTGGGCCATCAGACGGGGGCGGCTGCAAGCGCCAGGGAAGGCCTCTCGCCAGCTTTCACCTGCAGCTGCTGCCCTTGTGCCCCAGGGAAGGCCGGGAGTGGGTGGGGGGAGTGGGGCTGTGCAAATTCAGCGGTCCTGGGCCCATGCCGGCCCCAGAGAATGCCCTACCCTTGGATGGTGCTGCTGGGCTTGAAGGCGGCCGTCAATTCTGACTTAGCCCGGTGGTTCCTCTCGGACTTCTCTCTGACTGGGCTGGGCCTGCCCCTCTTTGCTACCTCTGCCCCCCTCCCTGTAAGGAGATGGTGCGGCTTTGACTCAGACCTAGAGGATCGATCCTTGGAGAGAGCCTTGTCTTCCCGTTGCTTTCCCTTTCGCAGAGGTTCTGCCAGTGGGCATCATTGCTGGTGCCACCATTGCAGCTGGCATTTTACTCATCTTCTGCTTCATCGTGCTGGGATGTTTCCTCTACCGACGTCGCAAAGGGAGTGAGTGTCTGATGTGTGCGGGATAATTGGGGCATGATCTCCTTTACAGAGGGCCAAGCTGGGGGACGGGTTGACGCAGGACAGTATTTATTGAGCAGCATACTGCTCCTAACTGGGGAAGCTCTATTTCCTCATTTGGACGAAACTCGGCTTCTATGCCCCTTTGTTTCTCTAACTGCCTTTCCGAGCCCGTCTGCTTCCTGGACTCTGAGGTGGCTCTTTCCTGGGCCCTTCAGAGGAGACCTTGGGTTTTTTATTCCGCTGAGGAAATCGGGTGCCCTTCCGGCTCGTCAGCGCAAGAACCATCCCTCGAGGGAAACCTTGCTTAGCGCTGGTGGCTCAGCCCGAGAAATCCCTGGGGTTCCCCTTCTGCCAGGAATCAAAAATGGAATGAATTTTATCTCCTGCCCAGGCCGGAAAGACGTGACCCTGCGAAAGCTGGACATCAAAGTGGAGACGGTGAACCGGGAGCCCCTGACGCTGCACACGGACCGCGAGGAGGACACGGCCAGTGTCTCCACCGCTACACGGGTCATGAAAGCCATTTACTCGGTGAGGGGCTTCCCCACCCACCCGGCTCCCTCGCCCCCAAAGCCCAAGCGGGGACCTACTCCCTGACCTTCCTTCTTGAAGCCAATTGCCGGCTGGGTCAGAAGGCCCTCAGGTCCTGCTCTTTGCTTCGCCCGCTTGAGATCGTGGCTTAGACCGAGGGGATGGCGGGGGGGGGTTGTGGCTGGGAATGTCTTGAGGGGTGTGGGTCAGAGAGATCTATGGAGCAAAGCGCCTCCCATGGGGAGCCTGGCCTAAGACGAACTCCCTGGGGAACCTGCGGGATGCCCGCAAGAGAGGAATGGGCACGGAATGGGGATGTTGTGGAGCACGACAGTCAGGTGTTGCCTGGCTGAAATTTGGGGTGTTTCTCTGCCCCCCATCTTCCCCCTGCAGTCCTTCAAGGATGACGTGGACCTGAAGCAGGATTTGCGTTGTGACACAGTGGACACGCGGGAAGAATACGAGCTAAAGGTGAGGAGGAGGAGGAGGAGGAGGAGAAGGAGGCTGCTGGCCCTGTCCAGAGAGCTCTGGGCAGCTCCCACCCCTCCCTGCCTGGCTGGGGCCTGCCTGCCTTGCACGGAGGGTGCTTGACGGCACCCTCTACTGTGGAGCAGCTCGGGGGGGGGGGGGGGGGGGCTTGCAGGCCATTGCCTCTGATGGAACCTGGAAGAGTTGGGCCCTTTTCTGTGGGCTCGCAGGACCCTCGTGGCTACGTAGCAGCGGAACCTCTGAAGGGTTCGCCTCAAACCCCTCCCCCCCTCCAGACCCTGGCACCCACAGCAGCATCCAGCCCTTGGGTGGGGGGCTCCCACTGCCAGGCAGGGCCTGGGTTCTGGAAGGGATTTTCCTCTCCACTTCTCACGCTTTGTGAAGCTGCCACTGAGCTGCTGCAGCGCTTCTCTCCCTGTTGGTCCTCCAGGATCCCACCAATGGCTACTACAACGTTCGTGCCCATGAGGACAGGCCGTCTTCCCGCACGGTGCTCTACCCGGACTATCGCACCCCTGGCCCGTCTCGCTACGATGGGCGGCCGTCTTCACGCCTCTCCCATTCCAGCGGCTACGCCCAGCTCAGCAGCTATGCCCGTGGCCCTGCCTCTGACTATAGTGGAGACCCAGTCCCGGGACCCACATCGGGCCCAGCCACTGCCGACACGGCCAGCCAACTCTCCTATGAAAACTATGGGGGTCATTCAGGCTTCCCCCCGAGTGCCGGCTATGCCACCTACCGCCTGGGTTACAGCCAGCCTCCCCCGCCCACCCTGGACCGGGCGGCCTACGACACGTACGACCCCCTGGGAAAGTACACCACAGCAACCCGCTTTTCCTACACCTCCTCGGACTACGGGCAGCGTTTCCAGCAGCGCATGCAGACTCACGTCTGAAGTGGGCGTTGCATCTTAGTGGGGTGCAGGTACCTCATGACTGCCCCCTGATATTCAGGGGGCTGTTTCCCCCTGCCCTCCCGGCCTCTTTCCAGGCTGGGCTTGTGGACAATGCCAAGTGTGGCACCTGCTGCCCGGCTGAGGATAACGCGGTGGCCGCCAGTCCAGCTGCTCTTCTACGGTTCCCTCCCTGTGGCTTTAACAGCCTCTGACGGTTCTTTGGTGGGGGTCCAGGTTCTCCAGGCGCCCCTTCCTCAAGGGCTCCCCCTTTCCTCTTTGCAAAAGACAGACAAGTGGGGAGGGCGATGGAGCAGCCACAGAGCAGTCATCCTCTCCATCCTGCCTCTGTGAAACTCACTCTCCATCTTACCCGCAGAAGGGGCATCTGTTGGCAGCCCCCGGCAAAAGCTGCGGGCAGCCTCCCACTGGGGGCACTGAGGCCCAATTCGGTACAGTAAGGCCTAATGGTTGGAGCTAGCCACCAAACAGGGGCCATTGGTCAAGTTTTAGCCCTGGCTTTTTAGACCAGCCAGGATCTGGTGGCCTTGGGTGCAACAGGTGCCTCCTTAAACTCCCTCTTAAGAGAAGTGGTTTGCCCTTGGGGCAATGCTGGTTGGGAACGGTCAAGCTAAAGTCCACACCCCTCATGGACCCCTCTTGGCTGAAGGCTGACAGAGCAAAAGTCCTGTCCGTCTCGGCCATAGCAGTGCACGGTGCAAATTGTGGTACGAAACAGAGTCCCTGGGGGCAATTCCTCCCCCCCTTTCAGGAAGGTGTTGGATAACACCTTATGTGTGGGTCCAGTTATTGGAGGGCAATATGGGGTTGCTCTCAGGTGCCCCCCACCCAACCACAGGAGGGTCTGGTCCCCAAGTGAACCTGCTGCCAGACAGGAGGGTCTCTGCAAGACGTGGCTCTGTGAGTGCCTCCCCTCCAAAGCTTTCTGCCATGGGAGCCACCCTGGAGGAAGCCTCTTCTGCCCTCCCCCCACCCTCTTGCTTGAGCCCCGTCCCCTGGGGCTGTCCAGACGCTCCTCTGGGCCAGCCCGGTTGCGTCAGAGGCAGAGGAGACCCCTGCTGGAGCCTGACCTTTGGGAGGTCAGTGCTGGACACACCCTCCGGTCTCCCCCAGACCTTACAGGCCTGTCCCATCCCCAGCATAAGGGCTTAGGGCTTCTGTCTCTCTCCGGCCTGGACCCACAGCTGTTGCCAGGGGTTGGTGAAAGCATCCTGTGGATCTGTGCAGCCTCCCCCACCCCCGCCCCTCACCCCCATTGTCCTACCCTCCTTGCTAGGGAGTGACTGCAAGCTCTTCAGCCTCCTGTGCCTTAAAACTCTTGCTCTGGTGCACCCACTAAGAAGGCAGAGCAAGTTTGCGGGGGGGCAGATTCCCTGACAGGAGGTGCCCCAGGCTGCCAACTGGGGGAAACAGGCGAGACTCGGCTTCTAGGCCGCATCAGGTCGCTCCCAACAGCCCAACTCCCTGGCCCTCCTATCTCAGGTGTGCAGCAGGACATGCGAGAGACACAGCTGGGAATTGCCCTCCCCCTGACACAATGGTACCCCCCCTCCCTTTGCATGCTGCATACTCTGGTACTCTTGGTGGTGGTGGTGGGGGCACCTCTGCACCTCCTGGGAACAGCTACCTGAAGATGTGCATTCAGACAGTGCCCTCTTCTGGCTGGTTCTGGGAAGTCTCTTTCTGCAGTCCGGTGGATGTTGGTGCTATTGGGGGTTCCGTTCGACCTTCCCCCTGCCATCCCTACTGCACTGGGGCTGGAAGAACCAGGGACGGCCTCCCCGGGTGCTTTCCGAGGGGTGTTTTCAGCGCCCCCTTTAGTGGCACCTTCAGCTCGGCTCTCCTCGGAGAACAAGAGTTTGGGGCTTCAGGGGGCAAAATCTCCGGGAGCTGCTGAGAGGGCGAGGGGGACCCAGATGGGCCTCACATTGCAGGTTGTGGGGAAGTTGCTGAACGCCGAGTTGGGGCCCTGCGCCCCCCCCGCCCCCACCTCCCTTTTTTACCAGAGGTGCCAGGAACTCCTGCAGAACCTGCCCTCTGCTCACCAGGAGGCGAGGAAAGGGGGGGGTTGAAGAGGAGGGACGAGGCTCTGCGCCAAAAGCAACAGGTAGCGCACCAATTCTAAGCCCGTGGCTGCATTGACGTAGCCCACCATGCCCACAGCCTCGTTCCTGAGTGAACCCATTTCCGGAGTCAATTTGAAAGGCCCAAGGGCCTGGGTTCGTACAACTTGCTTGGCTGCAAGTAAACCAGCATTAACATTAGCCAAGCTTGCCACGTTGTATGAATGCAATTCTCTCCCCCGCCCCTCCCCCCCCAGCCCCCTCATGAACATCTAGAACTTGAGCAATAACTAATTCCAGCTCCCACATGCGATTTGCCATCGGAGCGCCCTGCCCTGTCTTGCCAAGGGCCCCTCCAGCTCTTTGGGCGCGGGGATGGCGTGGGAGAGGCCGCCCCTGGCGTGCTTGTGGCTTCTCTCCTGAAGACGTACATTCGTGGCTGTCCCATCACTTCCTTCCCTCACCTCACTTTTTAGGAAAAATTGGTTTCCTTTTCTCATTCTTAAAAAATATTATGTACTATATTTTTAGTCGCAAACACAATATTATATATAAATATATATTTAATTTTTATATATATAAAGATAAATGTTTAAAAAAAAAGGGAAAGTGTCCTCTCTTTTGATACGGCCGTGTGGTACAAAGTTGGTGGTGGCTGAGAGCAGCCATCCCGGCACCTGCTGGGGAAACCCAGACCAGCACCGGTTGCCCTGAACGCAGGAGGAACTGCGGGGGTGGGGGTGGGGGAAGGGGGTGGGGGGGAGGAGGCTTTGATCTGGATAGCATGGACTAACAAAACCCCTTCCTTTGTCAAGGGGATCAAGGTGCGGCTTTGGGTCGTTTTTTTACTTCAACCCACCCACCCCCATCAAACCTTCGTATTGCCTTCAATTCTCTCTGCTTTTAGGAGGGGAGAAGTGACTCCAGCTCTCCCTATTTGGTGGGAGGCGGCAAGAAGGCCCCCCTGTGTGCCCCCCTTTTAAGACTCAGCAACTCCTTGGCAGGAGGTGGGGGTAATGCCGGCACCAAGCAAGAGAAGGGGAGGTTTATGGGGAGGGGGTTGAAAATGCCTGCGTTTCTCCTCTTTCTCCTTCCACCCTGGACTTGCTGGCCAGAGCTGAGGAGCAGGGAAGAGGCCAAAGGGCCGAAGGGGAGGGAACTGAGTGGCCCCTTTGCTGCCGCCTTGCTGCCTGAGGGAAGAGGAGCCCACCGGACAGGTGCACCACTGAAATGTGTGGCTTTGCGAGGCTGATGATCAGCAATATTGTAGCCGCTGCAGGTAGGGAAGAATCTAATCTCTCTCTCTCTCCACGCTGGTGGCAGAGCTGATAAAGTGTCATTTGATTTCCACTCCAATAAAGCAGCTACAGATCCACCTGGGAGCCTCTGGGAAGCAGGGCCTCCTCCAAGCAGCCTTCTCTGATGGTGGAACTCCCCAAGCACGGCAGCTCCCTGGCCTTACCTGGCCCTGGCCTAGCCTGGGCAGACCCAGCTCTCGGCTGCTCTCCTGCATAGGAATCGGCTGCAGGAAGGACCCCTCCCCCGGTTGATCTTCTGACCTAGCCTGCAGAATGTGGGTGAGGAGTTCCTAATCTGACTACTAAGGGAGCAGCGGCTGGTGTAGCTGCTCTTAGAATATAGTGTAGAAGACCCACCCCCACCCCCACCCCGCAACTCATTGGCAGCTTCCAGTTTGGGGCACCTGTGTGATCTCCCTTCAGGCCAAAGGGCCGGCCGGCCGGCCATCCACAGGCACCCACACTTTCGCCTGCCTCTCTCCGACTGCTTGGATTGCTTCACTCTGCTTTGTCCTTGGAGAGGCCAGGGCGGAAGAGCAGAGCCTCTGCCTTTATTCCAGTAGAACAAGCAAGCGAGGCAGGCAGGCAGGGGGCTGGTTCAAAGGAACTGGGAGAGAAAGGACAAGAAGGCCCGAAGAAGGAACTGCCCGAAGCTGAGCGGGAAAGAAACGGTGTGCAGACTGGGAATGAAGCAAGCCGTTTTGGGTCTTTGTGGTTTGGGGGAAAACCAGGCCCACGGCTCACCTTCCTCCTGGAGCTCATCCCAAGAGCAAACAACTGGGCTGGGATCATGCCAGGTGTGCCCTGGCAATCTTGCCATGTTGTGCAAATCATACGCCTTCCAATGCCAAACACCCAGGAGCACCTTGAAATGTTTCTTGGATGCTGCACATTTCTTTGCCTCTATGAAAGTGAAGCATTGGGCAAACTTTTCTGATCTTCGTGGCTCAGTGGAAGTCGGAGACCCTGTCATCTGGTCCCAGGGGTCTCTGATATATGATGCAATTTTTTCCCTCTTCCCTTTTTATATTTTCCTATTGTGAGCCTTTACTTGCTGAGTATGGCTTTTGCTGATCAGAACAATTTTTTAAAGCAAAAAAGAATAGCCTTTTTCTCAGAAACTCAATGTCACCTATTTTTGGAGCGTGAAACCCCAACGCTGAGGGATAGCAGTTTAATTAAATCATAGGACAGCTCACATTAAGAGCTTGCCTGAAAATCTAAGGCCATTAAACGCTTCTCATCCCCCTTCTGCCCCCTCCCCCGCCCCCCCGCGTTGCAAAGATTATCAAATGAGCGTCTCTTTTCTGCAGCATCCATAGATCATCACTGTACAATTCTGAATCCGCGTGAAGGCAACCCCTTTATTAGCTCAAGTCAAGAATGCCAAATCTTTTGCCAGCTGCAGTGTATGCCTCTCCCAGGGTGCCTGGGCTTCTTCACTGTGTCCATCCAGATGGGGCAGGCTTGGAAGATGGGGCTGAGGACCCCCACAAAGGGAGGGCTGGCCTCTTGCTCTGGACCAGCAGTCCAGCCCTGGGCAATTCAACACTGTGAATTCTTTTGTTCCTGTTTTTTTTCTCTTCTTTTCAGCTTTGTTTACCTTGTTTATGCAACCTAGTTTTCTAATAAGAGTTTAAATGAAGTGAAATGTTGTGGTAGGTAACTGCAACGGTTCCTTTTTGTAATGATGTTTGACCTTGTTGTTATTTGTATTACAATAAACATTGAATTATTTGAAGAAATGACCCAAAGGAGGTGCGTGCCTTCAGCATCTCTTCTCCTTGTTTCCTGCAAGAGCCTCCAGGGACTGTCTGCAGTTGTCCCAAGCAGGCAGGGGTGCAGGGGTGGGGGACTCCAGGGCGGCTGGCCACCTTCCAACCTAAAGGAGCTGGCAATTTTGCAACCAGCAGCCAGTCTCCAGCATCCCCAAAATTAAGGCTTTTCATCTACCGGCCGGTTGCGGAAGGAGATTTGGGCCAGAGATGAAAAAGGGCTTCTGGACATTTGGGGAATGGCTGAAGGTTTGCCTCTCTTTGGGGAGTGGGAGGTTGCTGAATTCTCGCCCTGAATCTTTGTCAGATGAACTTAATTTCTGTTGGGTGAGTCTGACTCGGTGTGGCCTCTTATCTATTTAGGACTCCTCATAGAGGAGGACACATTTTTCATCCTGATTTTATTATCCCCTGGCTCTCCCAGGATTCCAGTCACAGGGAAAGCAGAGGCACCTTTTAATTAAGCAGGTGGATCCTGGAACACCACAGAGCTGGAGTTAAAGAGACAGCCTGGCCGGAGGAGGATGGGAGAAGCTGGGCCAGAGAGCCTCCACTCGGTGATCTGGAAAGGGGCAATTGCCAACCCCTGCACAAGGGGGACCCCTTGGGAGGGGCGGGGGCTCTTGGCTGGCCACGGAAGGTTCCCCAGCTCCAGCATCTTGCCACGGGAGCCACCTGCTGGTTCCAGAGGAGGACAAGGAGGAAGGGGCAGCATTCCCCCAGGTGGCGCTGCGGCTTGTGTCCTGCTAGCTCAGAAAGCTCCTTTGCAGAAAATGCCATTCCGGGGCCCGGAATGTGATTCCCCTGTGGCCCCTGGCTAAAGGCAGGCCACTGCCCCGTGGTGAGTCAGGCAGGCAATTCAGGACGTCAGAAGAACATTCGACTCTGGAAAGACTGTAAATTCCCCGTTTTGTGGGCATGTGTGTGTGCATGTACGTATTTTGAAATCACACAATGGAAGAGAAGCCGTGTGCCTGTCCAGGGCTGTGAGGGAGAAAAGATGTCACTTGAACCCTAAGCTGCAGGAAGTTTCCTTCTGCTAAACAAATCCCTAATTTTGTGGTTAGAAAAAAACAAGCCTTCGGCCATTCCAGTTTTTCCTTATTTGTTCGCTTGATGGCAGTGCTCGATCTCTGGAAAGCTGCCTTTGAAGGAAAGCTCTGAAGGCAGGCAGATCCTCTGGGATCCGTTCCCAGAGAAAGCAAACCATCAGCCAGCAAAATCCTGGGCATCCATTGACTAAACCAACAGGGATCAGATCCAAAGCCGGCAGGTCTCAAGAGTCAAATTCCTCCCTGCCTGTGAGGGACCTTCTGCGACCCTTAAAGGCTCCCCTGGGGGCTGGGGCAGACGTCCTGGTGTGAAAAGACGCCTGTTCCTTGAACAGAGATTTGGGGAGAGGAAGGGAACACAAGACCCTAACCCTCGGGTGCTTTTCCCCTTTCATGAAGCCCACCCTATTTCCCCCAGGCATCTCTGCTCCTTTTTTAAAACAATCTTCATACAAATTCACACTAAAACATATTGGCAAATAGCTTGACACACTTTTTTCTCTGTGTGTATATTTTTCTTGCAAAACCTGGGTTGGCAAGGTACATCTGAAGCTTGAAACATGCCCAGCAAGGAGGCTGAAGGACTTTCATTGGCATCTTGACGTGAATGGCTCTCATTATTTCCCATCTGCGCGTTGCTCAAATCCAGAAACTTGGCCAGCTGGTTTGGTGCCGTGGGGTGCAGGAGAAGGAGAGGAGAGGGAGAGGGGGGAAAGGCCATAAATCTATGTTAAATTATGCCAACCGTTGTAAAATCCCCAGATACAGAAGAAGAAAGCAGCTGCTCAGCAGCCATTCCAGGAGGTTGGTGGGTTTTACCTCTTGCCTTTCAAAGAAAACTTGGCTGGTGTTTTCACTGTTAAGGAAAAGAGAGATATTCCTGACGGCACCTGAAAACTCTGCTAGTTCACTTCACAGGCTGAGAGGTGGCGGCTTGGGATCCTCCTGCCTGCTGACCCAGGAGCTGATTTTGAAGCTGCCACACATGGGAAAGGTGGGCTGTCCAAGCTCCACAAAAGCCCCTCTGGGACGTCTTGGCGTGCAAAGGGCCCAAATGTTTCTACAAGGATGATGGAAATAACCCAAAGCAACTGGCTCTTTGATATTTTTTTTTTATGAAGGAAACACTATTTATTATCTATTCATTTATTATAGTTTTATTCCTCAGTTGCATTTGGTTAACTCTACCAATGCAAATATTTTGGGAAGGGTGCATGGAGCCCCTAGTAAGATCCGTTTTCTCTTTCCAGAGCGCATAGAGGACATAGAAGAAGGGACAGCCACAGGCAGCAGGAGGGGGGAGGGGAGAAGAACAGAGTCCACCAAGATGGGAAAGATACTTAATGCCTAAATATCTGAATTTATTTTCTTCAGAAAAAAAATAATCCGGGACCATGACTCTGCATTCTCAGACCACCGTCAGGTACAAGCATCCCGCTTCTGAAGGAACATTATTCTGTGCACAGTCCAGTTGCCACAGAACTAAAAATCAAAACAAAGACATCCCACCTCACCATTTAAGGCAGGAATTGCAGCTGATAGAAGACTGGACGTGGTGCTAGAGGAAATGCCAACTCTCCTTGAAAAGGAGGCCCGATAATTTGAGGGCATCCATACTCATAATCCCCGGGAACTGGGCAAGCGAGTGGCCTTCCTTCCTTCTCACAATCTGGACCCAAAGCCAAGAGGAAACTGGGCCTCGAGCAAAATCCCAGAAGCAAATATTTGTGTTGGGTGACTTTGAATGACAGCCAGAGGTCCAACTGCTCTTTCTGAAGAAGCCCCTCCCCAGGAGCCAGGTGAGGGGGGGCGGGGGGTAGAGGAACCCAGAAGTTCCTTAGCCAGCTCTCTTCCCAGCCAGCCGCCAGAAGGGGGTGCAAAAGTCCTGCCCCAGTCAGTGTGACTCTCCCATACACACACACACACACACACACACACCAGGCTTGCTCTTTGCAATGCTGAGGGAAGCTGCTCCGTTATTTTGAGCTTCACCTGTTGAGAAGCAGCATGAGAAACAAATGACAGGGACTGGGGGTGGCACATTAACCGAGCTCTCCAGCGTGAGAATAGAAAAGCTGCCCAGGCCAGAGCGTTGGGGGCCCAGAGGCTGCCCAAGGGCCACTCGGTCTCCCTGGCTGCCTTCTCAGCCAGCTGAATTTCAGTGCCCTCAAAGGGGAAAAGGGGAGGCACCCCCACACCCCACCCCGGAGCAAACTGCCCTCAGGGCCGCCTTGTGGCTGAAGGAAGCCTGAAGCTGGACCTGTTTCCCGAGGTTTGGGGGGGAAGGAGAAGGCCCATCCCACCAGGCTTCCTCTCGCTGCCTCTGAGGAGAAAGAGACAGGAGAGGCCGCTGGTCTCCCACTTCCTAGAGGAAGCATTTCCCGAAGGAAAAAACACGGATCGTATCACCAGCCCCCCGCAGTCTCAGCTGCTGCAGAATTTGCCTCAGGGACCCCCTCTGAGTGGCAGGTTACGGCTCTGTCCAAGGAGGCTTCCAGTCCAGCCGGGGTCTCTATGACCCCCCCGCCCACCTTCATATCTGTCGCCTCCTCAGGAGGAAGAGGCTGTCAGAGTCTAGATCTCCCAGGCAAGGGCTGGAATCGTGGCCAGGGTGAGGCAGAGGAAGGAGCTGGTGGCGGCCTGGTGGGCAACGTCACGCCAGAAGAGGTGAAGCTTCTTGGCATCTGGATGGAAGAGCCTGGCATCCTCCAAGGCGCCACGAGCCGCGAGGGTGGAGTTGCTATCCCCCGAGGCCACCACATCGAAGACACATGAGTGGAAGTAGACGTCCTCCACTGGCAGCTTCTCCTTGCACAGCCGGTGGGCCTTCTCGGCACTGATGGGGCTGTGGCCGCAGCAGCCGTGGTGCCGGGAGATGCGCTGGCTGGGTGGGCAACCGCCCACGCACAGCTGCAGGTCCTGCTCCTCAGTGAAGGAGCCAGCCACCTCCTCGGCCACGCGGATGGAGAAGGACAGCTGCTTCCCTGCCCGGCGCACAACAATGGTGGTGCCGATGTAGGCTGCCCGGATCTCCACGTGCTGCCCGGGAGCCCGTTCGAGGATGCTGAGGCTGTCCCCGCCAGGCCGTTCCCCCCCGTTCAGCGAGCCATCCACAAAAGCCGCTGGGAGGTTGTCTGCCTCGGCCTGATAGACTTTCTGGTCAATGCACTCCTTCATGTTCTTGAAGATGATGGTGATCTGGAAAGAAGGGAAGAAGGTTGGCAGCTGCAGCAGGAGGCAGCCCACAGCCCCACTACCCCGGAGTCGGGAGGAGCTGCATTTGGTTGAGCAGTGGGGGCGGGGCCTTCTCTCCACCCCTCCAGCTTGTCCCAAAGGCCCCGATCCCTGACCACCCACCTCCCCCCTTGGGACTCCCGGACGTTTCTCCGAGGGCCTCCTAATTCAGCCGCTGGAAGAATTTTCAGAGGGCAGGCCTGAGCCCCAAATTCCCTCCTCCTCCTGCCCCACCCTTTCCAGAGCTGCCGCCTCCGCCTCCAGGCCACCTTGCTGGTGGCCGTGGCGTTGGATCCCTTGGCCACGGGGGAGTGGGTGGCCTGGGCAAACAAGTAGTGGTTGTCCAGCAGGGGCCAGGAGCCCTCCACGCGGCAGGTGTGGAAATCGTCCCCAAAGGTCCGGACGTGGGGGTCCCCGAAGGAAGCGCAGTGCCGGTAGGCGGGTGGGCGGCCGTGCTTGTGGGCAAAGGCCTTCTCGTAGCTGCAGAGGTCTGTGGCCCCGGCCCCAGGGGGGCGGGGTGGGTGGGGGGCCGGGCTGGGCCCCTCCTTGGAGCAGTTGTGCTGGGCCATGAGGTCCTCGATGCCGTGGACGGCCAGGTGGAAGGCCAGGTCCCCGCGGCAGGTGCGGGCCGTGTGGCGGGTGCAGCGGGCATAGGCACGCAAGGCCAGGCAGTGGGCCGCCCTCCTGCCAGGACCCCGTAGGGGGAGTGTGGAGGCCACATACTCCGAGTTGCAGCGCAGGATCCTGCAGCGGGTTTGCACTGTGTGGAACGAAAAGAGATGCGGTGAGTGCACAGTGCCAGGCACACACACCCCCAAGAATGGCAGCCCCCCTGCCACCTCCCCTCCTCTCACCGTATCTGCAGAGCAGGAGGAGGAAGAGCGTCTTCAGAAGGAAGCCTCTGCCCGGGAAGTGTAGGGGTGGCAGCCTTGGCAAGCAAGGGGGTCCCCCACCGCAATCCATGCAGCCTTGGAGGGAAGCTGCTTACTCGCACTGCTCCTGGCCTCTGGAAAAGACCCCGGTTTCAAGGAAGGCCTCCCCGCACCTGGTCCTGCGCCTGCCTTTCCCAGAACATCGGAGAGGGCCGTGCGAGGAGGCCCCGGGCGATCGACCCTGGTCCTTCTCTGGAAAGCGCCTTGGCCAGCCTCCCACGTGGGCACCCAGTGTCTTCCTCGGGGCTCCGGCTGTGGGCATTTTGTGGAAGGGAGAGGAAAGGCCCTTTGGCAGCAGCTGCAGGCCCTACAACACGATCCCTCCCCCAGAGGCAGTGTCCGAGGCAGAGGCTGTAAATAGGCCTTGCTATTTCAGATCCCCTGGGCAGAAGCGGGGCGGGGGTGTATTTTAGGCTCAACCCTGTCGCATATTTGCACATATGCCGACAGGTGTGTACAGAATATACACGAGCAAATGAAGGCTCTCAGGAACTCCAGCGTGTCCTTAAGTAGAGCTTTCCTCCCCTTTGTGCCTTTCTGTGCTGTTTGTGCATCTCCGCTGGGTGGTCGCGCAATGAAAGGAGGGCACTTTGTCCTCACCCGGGCCAATTGTGCCCCCCCAAGCCCCCTTTGAGGCAGTGCGAGGAGGTTCGGTTGAAACAAAAACCATTTCAATGGAGAAGCTGGGAGGGGCGCGCTGCTTCTCATGGTCACCGGGGCATATGGGTGCAGGCAGGCAGAGGGTAAAGTTCTCCAAGACCCATTTTGTGTGTGTCTGCAGCTCTCCTTCCTGACACTGACCGGCACACCGTCCCAGTCCCAATCTCCCTGCCTGCTGTCCCCAAGAAGGGACAAGGTCTGGTCAGGAGAGGTTCTGTCTGCTTCTGGGTGGCAAAATGGCCAGAGGCCGGAGTCTTCTCACCTGGGGGCGAACCTCGAGTCCTTCTTGTGAGCAGCGTGGAGTTTGGGGATCCCCTTTCAGGCCATCGTCGCCCAGAACTTCCCCTGGAGGCAGAGGGACGTTCTGGAGAAGGCGGGCAGGACGCTCCGAAGGTCATAAGCAGCCCGGAGGCCTTGGTTGGGGATTAAAGGGTGGGTGACAGAGACCCTCCCCCAACGCTCAGCCCTTCCCTTTCCCCCAGAGACATGGGACGGGAGGTTTGGCTGTGGCGCTGGTTCAGACCCAGGCAGAGACCATTTGGGAAGAGGTTGTGAAAGCCGGCTGCAGACCCACTGGGCCCTCCTCCGCCTCCCTCGCTTCTGAGAGCAGGGGGCTGCACCCGATAAGTCAAGAGACAGGCACACCTGTTCCTCTGAGGCTGTCATCCCTGGATGGGGGCAGTCAAAGCCCTGGGGGAGGGGGCGAGGAGAGAGAGAGAGCCAAAAAAAGACTCCGCAGATGGAGCCAGACTGAGATTCCGGCACCGGCAGCCGCGTGGAGACTCTGGCGAACCGTCCCGGCTGGCTCCTGGGTGCTGGGTGGGAGGGCCGTCCCCACGCATAGCCTTTGATCTCCTTCTGAAGAGAAGAGAGGGGTTTTCACCACGGGGCTGGTGCCTGTACTCAAAAGAGGGAACGGACAAGGGGTTTTCCAACCCGAGGCACGCACGCAGACACCCACCCGCCTTGTGCTGCAATGTAGCCCCTCTGCGGTCCCATCTGAGATTCCTCCCGTTTGCCCCACATTCCAATGGCCACGGCTGAGCCTCCCACTGAAGAGGCGTCTACCAAGGCCGCTCCTGGGAAAGCCTTCCGCTTCCTCCCACGTCTGTCCCAGGAGCTCCACGGTTGGCATTACTGCAAAGCCTCTGGATTCTTGCTCAGCTTGGACGGCCTTCAGCGGAAGCCCAGAACCGATGTCCCGAGCAGGCTCTTCGCTGAGGACTCGCAGGGCCACAAAGTGGTGCATCCAATGCCTGGGCAAGTCCCTTTCCTTCAGCCTTGGGTCTACGGTCTTTGTCTTGTCCCCCTTTCTCTAGTCAGGGTGGCTGCCGACCCCCCTGCCCTGCCAAGAGAGCTTTCCTTCTCCAGCCAAGCCACACAGGACACAGCTATCCCCAGGTCCTCTGCAGACAGTTTGTCTGGATGAACTTTGGGGCCTTGGCTCCCACCCAAGCAGCAGGTGAGCCATGGAAGCAGGTGACTCAGGCTTAAGAAGGGCTGTCAGTTCAAACTCCATTGTGATGTCTGTCTGTGAAGTCATCACATCGGTTGGAAAGGAAGGCTGGAGACCCTCAGAGCAAGGAGAGGCCCAAGTGCCCAGCTCTTGGCAAGGAAGACGATGCCATGATCCCTAGGAAGAATCTAAGCCCCGGTCATCCAGCTTTTTGATCCTAGAAGAAGAAAAGGGGAGACACTTGCATCTCTCATGAGAACGGCCACCTCCTTCCACTCCTGAGTCAGTCACCCTCTGGGACATCACCATGCCCAAGCAAAATGGCCTGGCTATCGGGATTGACCTTGGAACCACCTTCTCCTGTGTGGCTGTCTGTCAACACGACAAAGTAGAGATCATTGCCAATGACCAGGGGAAGCGGACTACGCCCAGCTATGTGGCCTTCACCAACACAGAACACCTGATTGGGGACCCAGCCAAGAGCCAAGCCTCTCTCAACCCTCAAAACACAGTGTTCGATGCCAAGCGGCTGATTGGCCGCAAGTACGAGGATGCCGCTGTCCAGGAAGACATGAAACAATGGCCGTTTACTGTGGTGAGCCACGAGGAGAAGCTAAAAGTCCAGGTCTCCCACAAAGGCAAACAACGGACCTTCTACCCTGAGGAGATCTCCGCCATGGTCTTGGCCAAGATGAAGCAAACAGCTGAGGCCTACCTGGGCTCCTCTGTTTCCCAGGCCATCATCACGGTGCCCGCCTATTTCAGTGATGCCCAGCGGCAGGCCACCATTGATGCTGGAGTCATTGCAGGCCTCCAGATCCTAAAGCTCCTGAATGAGCCCACAGCGGCTGCCATTGCCTACGGCCTGGATGCCAGAAACCAAGAGGCAGGTGGTCGAAACATTCTCATTTTTGACCTGGGTGGAGGCACCTTTGATGTTTCTATACTTTCCGTGGAGGACGGCATCTTTGAAGTCAAGGCCACTGCAGGAGACACCCGACTGGGCGGGGAGGACTTTGACAAGAGGCTGGTGACCTACCTTGCAGAAGAGTTCAAGAAGAAGCACAGGAGAGACCTTCATCAGGACAAGAAAGCTCTGCAGAGGCTGAAGACAGCCGCTGAGAGGGCCAAGTGCACACTGAGTTCCTGCACCAGTGCCAGCATCTCTGTGGACTCCCTCTCCCAAGGGCTTGACTTCCACACCACCCTCACCCGGGCACGGTTCGAGGACCTCTGCTCTGATCTATTTCGAGCCACCCTGAAGCCCCTCGAAAGGGCCCTGAGAGACGCCAAGATGAGCAAAGGGGACATCAAGGACATCGTACTGGTTGGGGGCTCCACCCGCATCCCCAAGATCCAGAAGCTGCTGAAGGACTTCTTCAATGGCAAGGAACTGAACAAAGGCATTAACCCTGATGAAGCTGTGGCTTACGGGGCAGCCGTCCAGGCCGCCATCTTGACGGGCAACCGGACGGCCAAGATGCAGAATATGTTCCTTCTGGATGTTACCCCTTTGTCTCTGGGAATCAATACTCAAGGAGGAGTCATGGCAACCATCATAAAGCGCAACTCACCTGTCCCAACAAAAGAGGTCATGGAATTCACCACGACTGAGGATGACCAGGACACCATCTTGTTCATGGTGTACGAGGGAGAACGGGCCTTGACCAAACACAACCACCTTTTGGGCATGTTCACCTTGAAAGGCATCCCCCCAGCCCCCTGCGGTGTCCCGGTCATCCTGGTCACCTTCTCCATTAACGAGAACAACATACTGACCGTCTCAGCCAAGGATGTGGAAACAGGGAACACCAGCCACTTGACCATCTCGGACACCCGTGGGCGCCTGGGCAAGGAGGAAATAGAGACGATTGTGCAGACGGCGGAGGAATTCCGGGCAAACGACCTGAGCCAGCAGGAAAAGATTGAAGCCATGAACTCCTTGGAGTCCTGCACCCTGGAGCTCAAGAGGGTGGCGGAAGAGCAGCTCCGGGATGGGAAGGCCAAGAGGAGGATGCTGGAGATGTGTGACGGTGCTGCCTCTTGGCTGGAGGGGAACCCCCTGGCAGAGAAAGAGGAATGCGAGAAGCGGCAGAAGGACCTGGAAGAAGCCTGGGACTCAGTCTACCCCGGCCTCAGCCCAGGCGAGGGGGCAGAAGAGCAGGTGGAAGGAGACTCCAAGGCCGCTGAGCCGAAGGAAGACATGGAATGAATCGGCCGAGTGCCAGAGTACATTGTTCCACCCAAAGGGCGCATTAAAACTATGGGTAAAAGAGGAGTCCTTCTCTTGACTGCAGCCGTTTCGTTTCTCGCTAGTAGCTTTTAGGCCCCAATCAGCTCATGAGCAAGTCACGTGGCTTAGCGGGAAGGCCAAAGCAAGAGAAGAGGCGTCAAGGGTGGGCCAGGCAAGTCACCCGAGTGGCTGCCCAGCTGGCCAAAGTCTCCTGCCTCGGCCTAAGTAGAGGGCCAAGTCCACTTCTCCCTTTGTAATCTCCTGAGCCCCACAAGGGGCCTCCTCCAAAGTGCAGGAAAACAAGAGCCACACAGCTCGGCTTGCTCTCTCTTCGTCTGGCTCTTGACACAGGCTAGAAGGTCACAGCGAAGTTAGTGACTCCGAGGTGGTCCTTGGGTGACCCTCCGTCCCAGGACAGCCACTGCAGCTAAAGGATGGAGCACGCCTGGACTTTCAGAAGTCTTACTTTATGTCAGCGAATCCTCACTCTCTCTAGAAGCTTTTGAACAGAGTGTTTAGTTCACATTCTCCAGGAGTGGGGTGGGTTCTCTGTCCCATTGAAGGATTTAGTTGGTTTGCCTGCCTCTGAAACCCACCACAAATGGGATCTGGATCAGGGACAAAAAATACAGCCAGGCCCCCTGCCCGAAGGCAGCCTGCACTTACCCAGGAGGCCCAGCACTGTCCGCTTTCCCAAAGTTGGCTGGGAGCGGGGAGTCAAGGGAAAGGGCCCCGCCTCTCCCAGGGGGAAACAGGGGTGGGCTCTGCAGCAGAATCTCCCCTGGGAAACAGAAGGAGAAAGGGCCTGCCATCTGCTGGGGACGCTGAGCCGGGAGGGGCCCATTGTGACAGGCCCAGTGATGGGGAAGGGTGTCTGTCCTCTGAAGAAAAGGCCAGGAGGAGAAGTGGGGGGAGGGGGCCCCTGCAGGGCCCAAGAAGAGCTGCCCCCTGGGATTGCCAATTTCCCATCATTGGCTGAAGGCCAGGGGCTGCTCAGGGAAAGAGCCACCTATGGGAGCTGACCTCAGCCATGCAGACACACCCAGGCCCACCTCCAGGCCAGAGACTCCCTCCGGGTTGAGACCAGACACGGTCAGAATTTACCCCAAAGGTCCGGCCGTGGGGATTGACCTGGGCACCACCAAATCCTGCGTGGCAGTCTGCCAGAGGGGGAGGGTGGAGATCCTGGCCAATGACCACAACAGCCGCACCACCCCCAGCTGCGTGGCCTTCACGGAGAGGGAGCGCCTGGTGGGGGAACCGGCAGAACTCCAGGCTGGCCTCAACCCAGAAAACACCATCTATAATGTGAAGCGGCTGATCGGCCTCAGGTACGATGACCCGTCAGTGCAATCGGGACTGAAGAACTGGCCCTACCATGTGGTGGAGGCTGGCAATGGCAAGGCCAAAGTCCAGGTGTCCCACCGAGGGGTGGAGAGGGTTTTGTACCCCGAGGAGATCTCCGCCATGGTGCTCTACAAGCTGAAGCAGGTAGCCGAGGCTTCCTTAGGCCGCCCCGTCACCCAGGCTGTCATCACGGTCCCAGCGTACTTCAGCGATGCCCAGCGCCAGGCCACCATGGATGCGGGGGCAATGGCGGGGCTCCATATCCTGAGTTTAGTCAGCGAGCCCACTGCAGCTGCGGTGGCTTATGGGCTCAAGGAGACCCGCCAGCGTAAGGGGAAGAGAAACATCCTCATCTTTGATCTGGGTGGGGGCACCTTTGATGTCTCCATCCTCACTGCCCAGGACGGTGTCTTTGAAGTGGTGGCTACAGCGGGCGATTCCCACTTGGGTGGGGAGGACTTTGATGAAAGGCTGGCCAACCAGCTCGCCCAAG